GCCAGTTTAGAAAACCGCATCTTATACTGGGTCACAGACAGGTCCTCCTAACGTAGATTCTTGAACTGCCTGCGCAGCTCCTCCTTGTCTGTGGCACAAACTTCTCCAAGAATAATACAGAGAACTCATGCCATGAAAGTGGTGCTACACCAACTGGTCTACTCCTCTCATAAGTCTCCCACCATCTGAAGGCTGTCCCGGTCAGCTTCAAAGTAGTAAATGAGAACCCACTAGTCTCCAGAATACCCGTTGTACGAAGAATACGCTGGCATATGTCCAATAAATCTTGAGCATACTCTAACTCAGTTCCACTGAATGATGGAGGACGGAGTCTCCCAAACCTCTTTTGTCTCTTCTGCTCATCGACATTCATAATAAGACCCACCTGGACTGAGCAGTTGCAACCGGCTACACTGGTAGTGCCCCCGATACCTGAAGTCTATGCACCACGTACTCTAGAGTACAGGCGACATGGGTATGAGTACCTCCCCCGGCCTAAGAAGTGGCTGGTGCGGCATGAGCCAAAACCACCTGAGCAAGGCCAATGCAAACAGTCAATATCTGGGAAAAAACCTCCTGAAGGCCTGAAATCACAATAGGCATAGTTGGTGTCTGAGCTGGTGTCGCCGGCTCAACTTTATTTTGAACCTGCTCTTGAGCTGGAGCAACTGGTAGTTCTACAGGTGCTGCTCGAACTGCTGTGCGAGCTACACCTCTACCACGACCCCGTCCTCTACCACGACCTCGATCTTTCATAGCCCTAACTGGTGGCTGGCCGTCCGATCCGGTAGTACGTGTCCTCACCATCTGTGAGAGAATAGAATACATAAATTTAGTTTCTGAAATCAACAAATTCGCACGACAGAATACAAGAAAGTAAAATTTTCCTAAGGGTTCGATAACCTCTCAAAGATAAGTACAGACGTCTCCGTACCGATCCGCAAGACTCTACTAAACCTCCTCATGACTCGTGAGACCTATATAACCTAGGCTCTAATACCAACTTGTCACGACCCAAAATCTCATCTATCGTGATGGCGCCTATCTTAATACTCGGCAAACCGACAACCTTAATAAACCACAATTTCCTTTAAGTTTGAAAATACAATAAATAAATTTAAGAGTAAAATCCCACAATTTTTTTTATACAAAATATTATCTTTATACAATACACTCCCAAAACTCGGTGTCACTAAGTATGTGAGTATTTAAATGACAATACAGTCTGACTAATAAAAATATTATCTGAAAAATAATGAACAACACAAATAATTGAAATGGGGGAGAGTCAAGGTCTGTGGACGCCAAGAAGCTATCTCGATAATTTTCAATAGATAAATCTCCAAAATCTAGCAACCGACGTATCCGAAAGTACCTCGATCTGCACACAAAGTGCAGAGTGTAGTATGAGCACAACCGACCCAATGTACTCAATAAGTAACAAGGCTAACCTTTGGGCTGAAAGTAGTGACGAGCTCAATAATTACAGTCCTATCATAGAAAATAATAGTACAGAAATATAGGCATGCTTTCAAGTTCAACTTTCTCATGCGACCGCATAGCACAAAACCTCCACTGTCTAGCTAAGCCTATGCGATCACGGACCTTCTCATACAGACTTCCAAATAATTATCCGGACACACTCCTAAGTCTAAAATTACCATACAGAGCTATTGGAATCATCAAAACTCTATTCCGGAGTCGTTTACACATAAGTCAACATCCGATCAACCTTTTCAACTTAAGTCTCCATCCTTGAGATTAAGTGTCTCAATTCATTCTGAAACCTCACCGGACCCGAACCAAATATCCCGACAAGTCACATAACAACTGTAAAGCACAAAATGAGTAGTAAATAGGAGAACAAGGCTGTAATACTCAAAACGACCGGTCGGATCGTTATATCTGGTTTTACTATGGCATAAACTTTTGTATTAGTAAACTTTTGATTTACTGTGGCTACTTTTGTATCAGCAAATTTATAGTTTATTATAGCTACTTTTGCCTCAGTAAAACTTTTGATTTACTATGACAGATTTTGCATTAGTAAACTTATGGTTTACTGTAAAATGATGTAGTACAAATTGAAAAATAAGTCGGGTAACTTCTCACATAAATATTATTTTACCCCCTATGATTGTGAAAACATGAAGATTTTCTATCTTACAATCATTTGTAGTCTCAATATGATATCCATTTGTATTAGTAAACTTTGAGTATACTATAACATATATTTTGACCATAATCTTTTAATATAAATGACATATTTATATATTATCTCTTCGAGAGCCTTTATTTATTATCCACAATCTAATATTATTCGGACACTACTGGTGTCATGTGTCTTCTAGACAAACAATTAGCTCTTCAGGAGTTTTTGATACATTTTGTACTATCAAATATTGCTCAGACACTTCAAGTATCATGAGAGAAAATCATAATCAAATAAACAATATAAAATAATTGTTTAAGCACAAGAAAACACCTCTTCATAATATTTTCCTACTTGAGGAGGAAATTTCAATTGTGTTACTTCTTCGGGAGCAAATTTAAAATACGAAAAATTGAGTATATATTCTTTCAATCATATTACCTCTTATGGAGGTGAATCATAATATATTTACATCAAGAGCGCGTTCATATTTACGGCTTTATTAATATTGTCACATTCATTTCAGAGAATAGATTATTATTTATCAAAAATTATCATCCTTCAGGAAATCAAACATAATTATCTGAACGCGCATTAATCATATCAAATTGTGATGTTGCAACCTCTTTTAAAATATTTACTACTTCAGAAGCAAATCGAGGTGTGTATGTAATATAGAGAATATTTCTCTAGCTTATCTTCAATAGTAACCATAGAAAGCCTAAATCATCATTTCGCGTGGTCATAGGCATATACCACTTGTGGTGGTTAACAAAAGTTAGTTACAATGAGATATACGAAACATAACCACTTCTTGTGGTTGTATATTTCTTGCAAACTCCACTGGAGTTTAAGTGGATCTAATAATGTTATCCACTTTATAATCCTTTATTAAGATAATTAGGATGGAAATAAATACCAAAATAGGTACTATATACGTAACATATAACCAAGCAAGCGATGATAAAGATATTAAAATATAAGCAAAAGGCTCAAATTAATTTACGCATATTTTCAGTCCAGATGTAAGTGATATCTACATCACTACTACAACAATAACAACAACGACCCAGTAAAATCCCACAAGTGAGGTATGGGGAGGGTAGTGTCTACGCAGACCTTACCTCTAGGTTGTTTTCAATAGACCCTCGGCTCACTACTGCCAAGAAGAAAAATTCGCCACCTCAAGGATATAATCTGCCTTATGATGCTCGGAATGAACAAGATCTAACTACGAACGTAAGAGTGTCGCTTTACATTGATATGAACATTGAAATAGAAATTAAATTCGAAGTAATTACTCAAAATGGTAGAGTCTCGTGTTGATAACATGTTATAAAATAAAATCTGTAAAGTAAAGACAAGTATAGAGAGAAACTGATATATTATTCAACTTTAATCTGATGTATATATTGAACTAAAATCTCTTCTAGTTATACAAGAAGGGAAGTTGTTGTGTAATCTGCTACTGCAAGCTGTTGTATAAGCTGCTTGTAAGCTGTTATTGTACCAGTTATAGATAATCTTATACAAGAGTAATATTTATCCACAACGGAGTGTCGAAATAATAAAATTCTTCAGGAGGCTTATTTCCAATAAAGTACTAAATAGATAAACATAGTTACAGTGAAATCCAATATGAATAAGATTTTTTAGAAAGTTTATTTATACAAGAGTACTAAATGGAGTATAATATATTTATAACAATAACTTCTTTGTACTGTATAAACATTAATAACGCTTCGGAAAGATATTTCTCAACAACTTCCAGGAAGACTAGTAGAAGATTATATTTAGCATGGCAAACTAGTCTTTTTGTTTTTTCCTCTAAGTTGAATATTAAACGGTGACTTCTCTTAAAATAAAATGAAAAAAAGAAAAAGAAAAAAGAAGAAGAGATATGGTGACTTTACCACGATTTACATTATGAAAAGAAAAAAGAAAAAACGAATGCGTCAATATTATGAAATATGTAATGAGAAATGGTAGAAATCTTATTTTTTATTTTGACCTGATTGATTGTATCAGGAAAAGGAAAGAAAAAAGGAGGAGGAAGTATCCCTTTCCATCACTCCCTTCTCCGTTGAAAAGATAATAATATTTATACGTATTTGATGTTTATACTGAATTAAATTTTTTCACATTCTTTTATTTTTCACTTTATCTAAAAGATTTGGTAAAAGTATTTGGCAATTTAAAAGCTAAGAAGACATGAATTTTCTTTTTCTCGTCACACCTTTACTATTCTAAAAACGTATTGTCATTTATTATTATTTTATTTAAGGAAGAGATATGAGGATTTACTCATATATCCTTTATGATTAATGTGATTAATTAATTAATTTTACTAATAGGAGTGCCAAATCCTTAAAGGACATATTAAAAGAAACACCAATAATACTAACTTAGCATAGCTCGGTGATAAAATAAGGTAAAAGTTTATATAAAAATTAACGAAGATTAAATAATAAAAGCAAATGTGGAGGGGCATAGCATAGATTTATTGCAAACACCGGTTTATAAGTGGGTATTGGGGAGTCAAAGGCGTACAACTTTGAACAAGTTCAGACTTTTACATGCTAATAATGTAATTCTTAGCCGCCTTTATATATGCCTCTCAAGTCTCAGCAGTTAAGTTGAACGAACTATTCAATTTTGAAGTGATACTATTCACAGTTAAGTGATTGGCTCGTAAAAAGGTTAAAATGAAATCACAGGAGAAAATTCTAAATTCTAGGTAGTTGCCAATAAAATAAAGAAGCCGTGAAAGACCTTCATTAAGAGTTTTCCAAAACCATACATATATTTAGCTTATTTCCTTAAGATGCTTCCAAGATCCAATTCACATTTCAGTTATGCAAATAAGATTTCTTGTCATTTTCTTTATATAAACGAATAATGAACATAACTTTAGATTGGACAGGGAAAATTAGCCTTGTCAGTCAAAGTTAGTGGAATTCACTCTGTGTCCCCTATAATATGGCTTTAAGGCTTTAACCTTGTCAACTAAAAACATGAGTCAGAATTCATGAAAGGGCTACCTTTATTTGTTTGTTCCCAATTACTCTTCATCTTACTAACTTCTGCAGCATTAGACACGATCACTAGAGATAAACCCATTAGAGATGGTGATACAATTGTTTCAGCTGGTGGGGTTTATGAACTTGGATTTTTCAGCCCTGGAAATTCCAAGAATCGCTATGTTGGGATATGGTACAAGAAGCTATTACCTACAACTGCCGTCTGGGTTGCCAACAGAAACATTCCATTGAATGACACTTCAGGAATGTTAACACTTAAACCCAATGGAACTCTTGTACTTGTCAACAGTTCCAATGCCTCAATTTGGTCATCAAACTCATCAAGATCCTTAAAAAATCCAAAAGCACGGATTTTGGATTCTGGGAACCTTGTTGTCAGTGACAGAAATGACAGAGACGCGGAAATTAATCTCGTGTGGCAGAGTTTTGACTATCCAGGAAATACTTTATTACCTGGCATGAAGCTTGGACGTAACTTGGTCACGGGCATGGATTGGTACATATCGTCATGGAAGAGCACTGATGATCCTGCTCCTGGTGAATATGTAGACTTTCTTGATTCTCATGGGTACCCGCAATTGGTCGTGCTGAAAAATTCATCTATAGTATATAACGTAGGGCCATGGAACGGTATTGCATTTAGTGGTAGCCCTAATTCTAAACCAAATATATATTATACTTTCGAGTTTGTTATTAATCAGCAGGAAATTTACTACAAATACGAGATTAAGAATGCGTCCCTGCCCACCAGGGTGGTGATCGACGCGGATGGGGTTGTAGAGCACCTAACATGGATAGAGCGCAGTCAGAGCTGGTTTCTCTACTTGACAGCACAATTTGGTAACTGTGATCGTTTTGCTTTATGCGGACCTTACGCAAGCTGCAACATCAATAACTCACCTCCATGTGACTGTCTGAGAGGTTTCGAGCCTAGGTATTTATTAAACTGTGTGACTGTCTCTTCTTAAGTTATTAGGGAGAGCACATTTTTAATTACTTAATTATGTCTTCACAAGCTTTCTCGCCGTATGGCTAAATTCTTATCCCTGGGCCAAGCACGTGGAAGTTTATTTTGATTACATAATTATGTTTTCACAGGTATCCGAATCAATGGTATGCAGCGGACTGGTCTAGTGGTTGTATAAGGAGAACTTCTTTGGCTTGTAACCAAGATGATTTTCTTAAATTGACGGGTATTAAGATGCCGGATTCTAGACACTCGTGGTATAATCAGAGCATGGACCTTGAAGGATGCAAAAAACTGTGCTTGGCTGATTGCAATTGTACAGCCTACTCAAATCTTGATGTTAGAAATGGTGGAAGTGGATGCTTACTATGGTTTGGTGAACTCATTGATATTAGAGAGTTGAGCCACAATGAGCAAGACCTGTTCGTGAGGGTCGCTGCTTCAGAATTAGGTAATGACACTACCCTGTACCATGTTTTTCATTTTATTATACAATATGTTAGGATTGAGAACCCGGGTAGTGTAGAATTTAGCCGAACAACGGTATAATAACAATAACAAAGACAATGAAAGTTGATAATAACGGCAATTAAAGAATATAAAGAAGACACAAATTTAACATGGTTCGGTCAAGGTGACCTACGTCCACAAGCGGAGAGGAGCAATTTTACTATACCAACAAGAGTACAAAAGAGAGTACAAAATTAGAGTAAATACTCTAATTAATCCCAAATACCCCAAGAGAATAACCTCACAGGATCACTCCAAAGAAAGGGTTCACACAAGTGTTTCCCAACACTCACTCTCTTATGAAATACTCTATAATGAAATAAAGGAGGAGAAAGAAAGACAAGAGTGAATAGCTCTTGAATTGGTGTGTTTTCAAATGAGGAAAAACTACTCTATTTATAGCAAAAATTCTTTGCCTAATAATGGATATTATGTCATGGCAAATGTCATGGTCCACAAATTTATTATAATGGATATTATGTCATGGCAAATGTCATGAACTACAAATTTGTTATAATGGATATTATGTCATGGCAAATGTCATGAAAATTTGGTCATATTACAAATCTCCACCTTGGCCTAATTTCGGCTTATATATAATAAATTTGCTTCACCTTCTCCGCAAAAATTCCCAATGGGCAAAATCATTCTTCATAAATGTCAATCAAGTTCAGGCAAAGCTTAAACTTGGACACTGGAAGAGGTTTTGTGAACATGTTAGCAGGATTGTCTCTAGTGTTGATCTTC